TTCTTTTTCTTTTTTTTTTTTTTCTTTTTTTTTTCTTTTTTTTTTGCTTCGGACATGCTGCTTGACCCCCTGACACTGATTTTGGTAGCTTTGGGCGGTTTTGTTTGACAGACCTGGTTCTAGTCTGTAGAAGGTTCGGACCGACCCGGTTTTAGTATATGAATGGTTCGGTCTGGTAGTGATTGTTTGAGGTCCTGGATCGTACCGCTTCCGAAGTGGTTCTGGGATTTTCCATTTGGATGGTCCGACTGGAAGCGTCGGATTCTAGCTGGTATCCAACGGTTTTCATTGTTTGTTGTCTTTTTGTTGTTTTTTTTGTCTTCTGTATTTTCGATGTGTTCTGGACGCTGACTAGTGACGGGTAGAGGCCACTATTTACTTAGATTTTTCGAAGTAGCCAGTCTTCTCGTCCGGTGGGACGTTTGGCGCGACACTGGACGGCTGCCTTCCGTAGTCGTTCTTCTGTGGTCGCGAGCTTCCGTTGACATCCTTTCATTCATTGACGTTGCCCGTCGTCGGTATCTTCCGGGTTTTCACGTTTGACATGTTAGCAGCCTCGTGCTAGCTTGTCGTCACTCTTTTGAGGAGTTCCACGTCGGCTTGTCTTTTGAAAATAATGATGTGACGAGTTACAGTTTTACTTCCTTGCTTGGCTTGAGTCTCCGTGCCTCTGTGCATTGAGTCGTCCTTGTCTTTGCATGAGGGAGCGCTGTGTTGCGTTTGCAATATCCGTTTGCATTCCCCCTGACACCGGTCCGAATTGTCTGGGTATTGTGATGTCCAGATCACCAGACAGTCCAGACCGGTCCGGACTCTGGTTTAGAAGACAGTCTGGAAGTGTCCGGTGTCCGGGTCCGCGGTTACCATGGGCAAAAGTTGTTCATTTTATTTTTCTGGACGACAATGGAGTTGTTTTCAGAAAATTTTCAATTTTTTTTTCGTTTCCCAGTGGGACCTTCTATGGTCCTTGCACGGCCGGGCAGCCCGGACAAACAAGGTGACCTGGGAGGCCCGGCTGGTAGCCTAGCCTGTGCCTTCCCTACCCCTGTTGAATTCTCTTGTACTGCAACAAAACCAATTAAGATGATTTAAAATAAAATAGAATTAACAAGCAACAGAGATCTAACTTTTCTTTTCTTTTTCTTTTAATTTGGACCATTTCCCGATTTATGCGTGTCATACTTAATCGCGCAGGGGCCA